ATCAGGTACCTGATAATGACAAAACCTTGTCGAAACGTTGTACATTTGCTGTTATATTAAAGTTTTTCTTCATTACCCATTCAAGCCGTCTCCAGCCATTATTAGTTTCAAAGTGGGTTCCTCGTCATTGAATTAGTCTTCTTAAGCTTTTTTACATTTTATGCACAAAGATTTTGATAACCAAAGAATATTGAATTTCATTCTTATGATGAGCACATTAAATGATTTGTATTATGAAAATATTAAGTTGTATTGTGTATCACCACAACACCTCTCACAGTCATCACTAAACTACCAGTTAAATGCCTAATGAAGAACAAGGAACATTTTAAAACTATTGGATTTTAATAATAAATTCTGGTCACATTTGACCAAGTAAGTGGGAAACAAATTTTTAAAAAGTAAATAGTATATTATAAAGTAGCATATTAAAACAGGAGAATCTTGGATCTGACTGAGATATCATCACATCATAACAAATTGAAAAACCATTTCGAGCAAAAGGTTGGAATGATAGTTTCTTACCCACCAACAGATTTACGTTTATAAGAGACTTCAGTACAAAGGATTGAATAACAGCGTTTGCTTTGTAAACATTTAAGGTATAATGCCCCTGATAACATAGTGGTGAATTTGAGAGCTTATAAAAATAATGTTTGGGGTTCGATTTTTGTGGTTGGTGAAGCACAGGTAGCTTACCTTTCTGTACAACAGATATTTTGTGATGGAGACACAATATGAGTTTTTTTTTTTGTTTTTTTTATATTTGAGATATAAAGCTTAAAAAATATAAATCTTAGAAGTTTTAAAAAGAATATCCTGTTCTTTACTGCTATAGAAAGGGCTTAATTCATATTTTTGTACAAAACAAACTTGCATTTCTTCATATGTATTATAGAGGTAATACAAGACTCAGTTTTTGTAATTCGTATTATTATATGTAACCCAAAATTTTATTTTCTTCATCACTTAAATTAAGATTTGAATTGCTGCATAGTTATTTTGACAGTAACTAAAATTCACTAAGCTTGTAAGGTGACAGAGAAAAAAAAAGCTTTTATTTCATGCTGAAATTATAAAGTTTGCTTCTTATTATTCAGCCAAATAACTCTAAGATAAATAATTAGTTATCATTATATAAACAATAAAACTTGTATGAATGCTGGTTTTACAGCTATATGATTATTATGAAATTTTAAGCTGTAGTGATTTTGGGACTTAAATTTCATGCTTGTTTTCAAAAGAAAGTGATATTTAAAGACCAACATTGCTTGAAATGCTAAGTATATTGCTACACTTTCGTGATTTTTCATAGCCGTGTGTTCATTCTGTGTGTTTGTTTAAAGTTATTGTAATTACTGCAGTGTAAAAGAGGCTGAGTTGGACAGACATCCTGAACGTAGAATGAAGGCAGCATGGGAAGCTTTTGAAGAGGCTAATCTTCCAAAAGTCAAAGCAGAGAACCCAAACTTGAGATTATCCCAGCTAAAGCAGCTTCTCAAGAAACAGTGGATGAAATCTCCTGAAAATCCCTTAAACCAGAGGCATCAGATTTACAACATGAAGAAATAAGACAATGAAGTGTGCATCTTTTGTATTATAATATTTTACATATTTTGCTTACAGCATGTCTTTTTTCATTGAAAACTGTTCTAACAGCTTCAGTTGCCCAACAGAAAAAGATATTCTGGTCATAAATAATGTGTTACAGTGAAATTCTGCTGAGTTTTTTTGAGTTAAGTCAGTGTATGTATCCTTGTTTTTACTCAGAGGACAATAAAAGATAGAATTTTCCAGTGGATGAATTATGAATGTTATTAGTGTTTGAATGAAAATTAATATTTACATTTATTTATTTGTTTGTTGAAATGGCCATTAAATGAACGTACATGAGGTCAGTCCACTGGACCAACCCCATATTGAAGAAGGAATGTCAACTATAATTCTGAATTAATTTCATGTAACTTCACAAAATAAAGCTAGCTTTTAGTTAAAGATATGTCAGTTGTACACACAAGATCAGGTGTGTTACAAATGTATTGTGTACTCGTGATATATCTGTGAACTACAGATGTTGATCTGACTCAAAGTTCGAGCACAAGTTGATGTTCACATGAAGAATATACTTTGGTCCATCGTATAGTTTGTATATCACACCTGAATAACCTCTAGACCTCTGAAATGTATATTTACAGTTTTTTTAAGAATACCTGTATTTTGTATCGGTATTTACTCTTCTCTACCACAAACTGTTGCTGTATCAGCAATGTACAGTAAAATGATTAGTTGATAACTCTTGACATCAAACACATAATGCTATGTTGAATGACATTCTTTAAAAGGTTGTGGTATTTACACTCTGACCCCAATCTATGCACATAGGGTTAATATACTCTAAGGAACTCGGGTCCTATTCAGTTGGGAGTATAACCTTACTTTGACCAGGTTATCCATTGGTTTCATTCTGAACAGCAGACATGGCATTTAATATCCAAAGTTAGAATCAACTTCTCTTCATTGCCTTAAATATATATATATATATAATTTTATTCTCATTTGACAGATTCTAGGTCGTAAAACCTTTTGCTAGTTAAACTTTCTATGCCTTCTCAGAAATACCAGTCATGTATTTGTTTGTCACTATAGCTTTTCAAAATGTAGTATCATTTAAACTTTAAATGAATCATTTTAATAAATCAGTCCTAAAAACAAAAACCAAATACTGTTTATTTTTAATGTCTATACTCCAAAAAATATTGCAGGTTACAAAATTAAGATTTTTAATCACAAGTATGTTACAAAATTCAAAGTTTTGTGGAAATAGTTTACTCTTTCAGGAAATGCTTTTTATATATTTTTCATAATCTGTTTAATTGCTTACAGTTAAGATAGGTTAATGTTGAAAGCTCAACTTAGATTTGAATTTTTGGGATAAACACATAGTGGATATCTTAAGTCAAAAGTAATTTAATAGATTGAAGTAATTGAAAATAAAATGTTAATTATTTATTTTCTACATTCAACAGAAATATGTTTGTAATTATATAATTTCCTTTTTTAAATAATACTATCTATCTCTGATATTGTTTAAATATTGGTTTCAGTGTGTTCATGTACTAATGTATTCAGCAGTCGGCATTGAGTTCTGAAAAGCATAGTCAGAAAATGAAAAATGTAATTGGTTAATACCTCTTCTCCCAATGGCTTGGCAGTAAGCTTAAAAGCGATTAAGGCTAAAACTCGGGGTTTGATCCCTGTGGTGAACAAGGCACAGTTTTTAGTTTAGAAAACAATTTTTTGAGCTGCTTTAAACTTTGTATTTCTCAACATCGTCAGTGACACCATTTCAACACTCGTGTGGTAATGTATATCAGGTTTTATTCTTTCTTTCTTTCTCTCCACGGTTTCTTTTCACCAGGTTGTGTCAGATTATTTTAATTTATTTTTGAATTGATGATTAGAATATTTAATGACTTGAACATTAGTTTATATATATTGGAAAGATTAGAAGATTTGCAAGTGAAATTTTCGCATCATATAATAGCTCAGAGTACGTGTATATTTATCGTTTTATTCTCTTCTGTTCTCAAACGTGAATAAATTTACTGTTCAGTGTAATCTTATATCAGTTTATCGTTAACAATTATCTATAAAATATATACACATCAAAAGCACTTCTTATAACAAATATCTTGATACGTGTCGTTAATAAGTTGTCCTAATGTTACATTGTGAGATCTTGTTGAAACAGAATTGGAGTTATTGAGGAGACTGTGAAAACTTACAGTTCAAATGTGTATTTAAATCTGTAGGACTCCATTAATATTTTGTTAGTTTGTAACACAATATGGTGTCCTTACGATGTTTATGTTTTTACGATCGTATAAAAATGTTTTTTATGATATTTTAAAGTCTCGGTAAAATGTTACAAAGTTAATCGTACATGTTTCGTCTTTGTCACATAATAAAAATAATTGTTCTTTACCTCAGAGATTTGACTACTTTCTTCTCAGAATGAAAATTTTGACTAAATAACCGTTATTCACGGAGTCCTCCTGGATTTTACTGAGATTTAAAAAAATCTTTAGAAAATATATCGTGAAAATTACATTATTTACGAGTCACTTTGACTTTTTATTTTGCCTATTTATTATTACTGTATATTCTAGTCAGATTTTTATTTTAACGTTGGAGTTTCAGTTCTGGCTAATTTATTGTTTGTTCGTTGCGGAGACATCACAAAGGTCTATGAAAATAGGGCGTAATGAAATGTATCAAACTAAAATTACGAGTAGAGTTTTGTATGTGTAAGATCGAAATTGCCATAAACATTATTGAGGTCAATAAAGATAAATGACAAGAGACAAAGCAAGAGTTAATACGGTGTGTCCTTTAAAAATATTAAATTGAAGGTCTACTTTTCCTAGGCTCCAGTGGTATTGGATAAAATGCATTTTGTAAAAATAGTTTATAGAACATGACATTTGGATATTGCAGCCTCTTCTTTAACACGCGTGTAGGTTAAAACAACCTCATCTGTACTATCTACAGGCTTTATGCTTTAGTATTGTCTCCCACCCCCTTTCCCGTGAGCTAACGGTAAGTTTACGGACTTACAATACTAAAATTCGGGGTTAGATTTCTCGCGGTGAACAAAGCGCAGATAGCCCCTTTGTGTAGCGTCCCGGCATGGCCAGGTGATTAGGGCGCTCGACTCCTAATCTGAGGGTCGCGAGTTCGAATCCCCGTCACACCAAACATGCTCGACCTTTCAGCCATGGGGGCGTTGTAATGTAACGATCAATCCCACTATTCGTTGGTAAAATAGTAGCCCAAGAGTTGGCGGTGGGTAGTGATGACTAGCTGCCTTCCCTCTAGTCTTACACTGCTAAATTAGGGACGACGAGCGCAGATGGCCCTCGTATAGCTTTGCGCGAAATTCAAAAACAAACAAACCCTCTTGTGTAGATTTGTGCATAATAACAAAACAAACAAGCAGTAGTATCACATTATATATTTAAACTTCGGAAAAAATATTGATGTATTATAAGGTTATGAAATATGAAAGTGGAAATAATTATAATAATTTTGTATTTTGAGTAAATTAAAGTAATATTTAATAGAATAAAAACAAAAAGTAAAAACCACTGATTTTTAATTTTTCGTTAGAAAATAAGACCCATGAAGTGATACTGTGAAATTGCGATTGATTTTCCCACTACAAGTATGTCGCGTTTAGTCTTGAGATATATACGTATAAAACCTTGAGTACTTTAATAAAAGTTTTTCTTATTCTCAGAATTAATGTTCACATATTTTTATATAATTTTAAATACCGCTTGGAAATGTCTAAGTTATTGTTAAATGAAAGTTATTAATATTGTTACGACAGCGGAAGTCACGTGATCCTGGTAACACACGATGAGATTCTCGAAGGATCATGAATTGTCCTGGCAACTCTAGTCTGTTCCAGGCGCCCTCTTTTTTAGTATATAATCCCGGCAAATAAAGCGACGAGAGAATGGCATAGATAGAGAGATTGAAGATAGAGATAATTGAGTCAAGCCGTAAGTAAAGTGTGTGAATCCCTGTGAACTATAGCGTGTTTTTATAAAGTAGTTAAGTTAACCTGACTGTGGAAGTTCTGTGTATTGCAAAGTTGTATTGAGAAAGAATAAACTAGTTTTATTTAAGAAAGGACTTGTATCGCTAAAGTTCCTCGGAAAGAACCTATACCGGAAATTAACAAACGACCAAATATGCAACAAATTGGTGTCAGAGAGTGGGACAGAAAAAAAAAAAAGGTGGAAACGAGAAGTGGGAAATC